GCCTGATTCCACAGGGATCGCCGGCACAAAGAGCGTGAACGGGACCGGAACAAGAAGGACCGGGACCGGGAGAAGGATGGGCACCGACGGGACAAGGACAGGAAGCGGTCAAGGTGAGCCCCGTCTCTTTTTGGGGTGTCTCTGCTCTCCTATAAGCAACCCAGGGCTAAGCGTTGTCATGGGCAAGAGCAGGATTCCCCCGGTCGGTGTGGATGGGGTGACCCTGGGAGTGTGTTCAGTGCCTGATTCTGCTTTGTTTTGCTGGGGAGCTTGTCCCCGAGCAGGGGTAAGGATTCAAAGTCCCGGAAGGAGCGGGACTCACGGAAAGCAGAGGAAGAGGACGAGAATGCCCTGAAGAAAGAGAAGGTGAGGAGGGGGCAGAGGGGGCTCAGCTGGGAATGGCTCCCCGGGGAGATCACTCTGGTGAGGCAAAGGGTCCCCGTTGGGGGCTGCTAACAGTCCGGCCCCACGTTCGCAGGCCCAGCCGCTGTCCTTGGAGGAGCTGCTGGCTAAGAAGAAGGCTGAAGAGGAGGCAGAAGCCAAGGTAGGAGCGGGAGCCTCCTCCCTGTGCTGGGGCTCTCCCGTACCATGCCTGTGGTGGCTGCGACGGGATGGATGTTTGGGAGGGGCGTCATAATTTCCTGGGGCAACCCCGGCAGCGAGGGGGTCGCGGCCAGGCCCGGTGTGAGCTTTCCTTTCTCCTGTCGCAGCCCAAGTTCCTGTCCAAGGCAGAGCGGGAGGCCGAGGCCTTGCGGCGGCGTCAACAGGAGGTGGAGGAGAGGCAGCGGCTGCTGGAGGAGGAGAGGAAGAAGAGGAAGCAGTTCCAGGAGATGGGGAGGAAGATGTTAGGTAAGGTGTTGTCCCCATTGCCGTCTGCCCCCAGGGCTGGTGGGGGGTGCTTGGCTCTGAGACCCTTCCCCTGCTCCCCAGAAGACCCCCAGGAGCGTGAGCGCAGGGAGCGCCGTGAGCGCATGGAGCGGGAGACCAACGGCACAGAGGACGAGGAGGGCAGGCAGAAGATCCGGGAGGAGAAGGACAAGAGCAAAGAGCTCCACGCCATCAAGGTAGTGCTGGAGGCCAGGCTGGGGTGGTGGCGAGGGGGCTGAGGGGCTCGG